TTTTAATATGCTGTCTAGGTTGGTCATAGCTCTTCTTCCAAGGAGCAAACGTCTTTTAATTTAATGGCTGCAGTCACCATCTGCAGTGATTTTGGAGCCCCCCCAAAATAATGACTTACATAAATAAGTGACTTACATAAATGCATAAGTATTAGCAGAAACAGCTAGTCACTGTAGTGGTGTTTCAAAACACCTCCCCCAAATGGAGGGCAAACTGAATACTTGTCTAGGGAATTTGTTTTAAAAATTATAGTAATCGGGGAAAGCTACACAGCCAATAATAGCATGTGGTAGAAAAATATTCAATAATGTGAGAGAATTCTCATGTTAATTTTCAGTAGTGCTCTTTACATTTGCATAGATGCTAAAAGGGAGAAGCACAAAGATGATCAAAGAGATGACATGTGGATAGCAGAATTATGAGTGGTTTTTATTTTCTAATTTTTATCTCTCAGTATTCCCCCAGGTATTTATAAGCAAGAAAAACCTAGTTATTAAAAAAGAACAAAGGCTCATTATTTGACTTTGATGTTTAGAAGAAACAATCACTTTAAATGACTAATTCCTTCATGGTTACCAAAAACCTCAGAAAATTTCTCAAAATCATGTTGTTTCCTGTGTTCGTATGTTACCATTGTCAAATACCTCATCTCCTAAGAAAGAAATAAGCATCCCCTCTATCTAATCTGATATTTTTGTTAATAGAACAATGAGACAAAACATATGAAAATGCTTTGGATACTGTTGCTCAGTAACCAACACGTAGGACGCCCTCAGGATTAACAGGAAGAGATCTCATTCTGTTCGGATAACTGGTGTGGCACTGAGGACAGGGCCAGTCTGTCACAGCCTGGCTTTTCTCAGCAGCGCTTAGCATCTTTAATTACTTCTCTGCACGAGAATGATAAAATGTGACCCATGTGAGATCAAGCCATAGAATTTCTCCTTGCAAAAAGTGAACTTCTGCTATTTTTGGTATTTAATTACCCTTTAAAGTACGTTTCAAATTTCCATAATGTACTACTGAAAAAGTATCAACTTAGCTGACAAGTGAACCATGTTTCATCCTTCCCCAGAGTGCTTTGCAGAGATGGAGGTGGTCCCGGAGGTGGGCTGATGCTCACAGAACGCCAGGTCCTCCCTGGAGATGGGAAGCAAAGGTCACACACAGAGGCACGGAACTCCTTAGTGGAACCGCCCATCGGCCGCTGAGCAGCTGTGGAGATGGGGGCAAGCACCTCCCTAGAACTACCTACTGTCTACTCACTTGGGTCCCTGCCCAATCCCCTCACCTCCCTGCAGGCCCACTGCCCATTCACCACTCGGGCTCCCCTGGGGCTCAGTCCCACTGATCCTCCTACCTGAGGGCTCGCCCCCAGTATTTAGCGTCTCCCACCACCAGCATATAAGCCCCACAAGGATGTGCCGTGATGCACCCCGAGCTCTCAGACCAGAGGCGGTGTATTTGGATTTGGTAGGTGGATGCCCAAGGTCACCACGCGGGACAAGCTCATAGGAGCCCAGTGCAGGGCGGCGCTCCACATCCCTGACCTGCAGTGGCCAGTGGCATCCAGCCCATCCCTCTTTGGGCAAACATCCTCACTTCCCCACCCCCACGACATGAGAGCAAACCCCCAAATCTGCACCCCGCAGGGACTGACACAGACTCATCCAAGGTGAACCCCTGCCATTACCACCTGCAGCCAGGGTCCCCCATCTCACCAGAGCCTGCTTCCTCAGCTTTTCCTCCCATTCTTTCAATGTTTTAAAAATTGAAGTCTAATTCACTTGCATGCGTGCTAAGTTGCTTCAGTCCTGTCCGAGTCTTTGCGACCCCACGAACTATAGCCTGTCAGGCTCCTCTGTCCATGGGATTCTCCAGGCAAGAATACTGGAGTGGGCTGCCATTCCCTCCTCCAGGGGATCTTCCTGACCCAGGGAACGAACCTGCATCTCTTATATCTCCTGCATCGGCAGGCAGATTCTTTACCACCACCTAGGAAGCCCATAACTAACTTACACGCCTACAATACTATATGTACTACTTGAAGGTGTACAGCATAGTAACTTTGTATTTTTACACATTAGGAAATGATCACCAGGTAAGTCTAGTTACTCTCTGTTGTCACTCAAAGTTGTTCCAATGTTAATGACTGTATTCATCAACCGACTCATGTATTTTAAAGCTGGGGGTTTGTGCCTCTCAGTCTCCCTCACCGATGCCACTTTCCCCTACTTCCATTCTTTTCAGATCCCTTAACCTTCTCAGAACTCTCTTTTTGCTCAAGTTGAGGCAGAGTTAGCTTTTATTTTAGAAACAGATTTTGCTTTCTCTGTTTCCTTATTGAGATGCCCTTATGGATTGTGAAAGCCAAACTTAAAAAGTTGTTTGCTTTTATTTAATAAATGAACTGAGTATCTAGTTACCGCCCAAAGAAACCTGGACTAGTCATGTGGGAGAGCTGGAAGTTCGCACGGCAGCCCCACACTTCAGAGTGCAGAAGCTGCCCGGTGGTAAGCTGCAGATCAGCCCTAGTGGAAGCCGTGAAACAGAAATTCAAGTGTTCGTTCTAGCAGGATCTGATACCAAAGAAATCATGTCCAAATTCCCCTGTCCTTCCCAGTGCCTCACTCACAGCACAGTCCTGTTAGCAAGGAGGACATCAAATTCTTTCCTGCTACCCTGTTGAAAAATCATTAGGTCACAACGTTATTAGGCTACTTAATAGTTTATGTAAGTGAAGTTAAGTGGCGTGGCTCAGTCGTGTCCGACTCTTTGCTACCTCATGGACTGTAGCCCACCAGGCTCCTCTGTCTGTGGGATTCTCCAGGCAAGAATACTGGAGTGGGTTTCCATTTCCTTCTCTAGGAATAGTTTATGTAAAGATGGATGTAAAAGATTATTGAAGAATGGGACTTCCCTGATGGTCTGTGCAATTAAGAATCCACCTTCCCAAACTAGATGTCCATCAACAGATGAATGGAAAAAGAAGCTGTGGTACATATATACAATGGAATATTACTCGGCCATAAAAAGGAACACACTTGAATCAGTTCTGATAAAGTAGATGAACCTAGAGCCTATTATACAGAGTTAAGGGAGTCAGAAAGAGAAAAACAAATACAGGATACTAATGCCTACATATGGAACCTGGAAAGATGGTATTGATGAACCATGGTACTGATGCAGGGCAGCTGCAGTGTTCACACCTGCACTGATATTTAATCCCAAGCACATAATACCAAATGTTGTGCTGTGCTTAGTCACTCAGTTGTGTCCAACTCTTTCTGACCCCATGGACTGCAGCCCATCATTCTCCTCTCTCTGTGAGATTCTCCAGGCAAGAATACTGGAGTGGGTTGCCATGCCGTCATCCAGAGGATCTTCCTGACCCACAGATGGAACCCAGGTCTCCAGAACTGCAGGCGGATTCTTTACCATGTGAGCCACCAGGGAAACCCAATACATGGAATACTTTTGTTTAACTCTTCTTTGTCTGCTTCAGGAAAACAAGAAGAGGGAAGACACGAGAGCATGAATCTTTCTGACCAAGATCACATGGCCATCAGGTGACTTCTCCTCTGCTCTTATCTGATCTTTTTTTTTTAATATTGCAAACTAGGAGGGGAAATCTAGCATCTCTATTTATTGCAAATTACAAAATTTGTACTTGACTGTAAACTTTCATGACAGATACTAAGTTTGTTGATAAAGGAAAAGCCAAATGAATAGGATCCTGGAGTCAAATTAGTTGATACAGATAAAAATAGGTTTCCAGAGAAGCTGGGGCTTGTGAAAACCGTGCTCACGGATGGTCTCCACGGTGACTTTAATCCACGCACTCAGGTGTGTACTCTGCCCAGGACTCGCCCTTTATTGTGGTCTTGCTATTTTAAGACTCATTATTTGACCAAGACACAGAGCGAAGTCTGAACGACCGTGATCACTTCCTTGATTTGGGTTTATCGTGCACCAAAGGGGCCCTTATTTGGTGCAAACGAGCTGGAAGAGAGCCTCTCAGATCCTTCCAGCCGGCAGTCCTGAGGGAGGAGGCAGAGAATGCAAGGCGCCTGAACGGGGCGTGGACCTCAGTTCTCCTGACGGAAGTAAAGTCAGTAAGGCCAGCTTGAGGGGGGGGGGCGGGAAGACGCTCAGTGAGCCGGAAGTAAAGCCGACGTGGGGGAAGACGCTCAGTGAGCCGGAAGTAAAGCCGACGTGGGGGAAGACGCTCAGTGAGCCGGAAGTAAAGCCGACGTGGGGGAAGACGCTCAGTGAGCCGGAAGTAAAGCCAACCTGGGGGAAGACGCTCAGTGAGCCGGAAGTAAAGCCAACCTGGGGGAAGTAGCTCAGTGAACCCGCATGTCCCTGGAAAGCGCGGGATGGTGGGTGTGGCGACGCTGTGACTGTGCATCTCCCTCCGACCCGGAATGGGATGATGGTGATGCTGGCTCTTCCCCGTGGGTGCAGACGTGGGGAGGCCCCCAGGAAAGCATGGCCAGGGCCGCTGCTCAAACAGCCCGCTCTCTGGCGCTTTGCCTTCAGGAGACAAAGGGCGATGACTCCCAGTGTCCACTGCACGGTTGCCCCACGTGGCTGGTGCCGGGCTCCCTTTGAGTCACACCCGTAACCATCAAAATCTTTTAGTAGGTAAATGAGTGAGTCTTTTTTCAGATGAATGTCTTTAATAAACTTTAAATATTTTTTTCATTTAGCTTCAGGTTTTTTTTTCCCTTAATTTCACAAAATTACAGTACTCCCCCAGCAGAAAGATAAGAGCAAACCAGAGGTCACCTGCAGAAGGCTGGAGGAACAAAGTTAGGGTTCATCATGGGACACGGACTCCTAACTTCTTTAAAAATCTGGTACCTTCGGTCACAATGAGCTTGGGTAATTTAGTAAGTTTTTAAAAATCTGATTAAGGGACGTTGTGACTGAGTCTTCCTCCTGGCGATGCCTGATGTTCAGTTGATGCAGGGGAATTCCTGGCTATATCACATACCATATCCAGGACTGCAGACAGGACACGGGGCAGCTTCCAGGTCCTTCCAGACCAGCTCAGTGCAGCCCGCTAGAGCACCCTGCTCAAAGCTCAACGATGTCGAAGAGCAAGTCTTCTGTGTGGACCTGTGCGAGGTTCCTGAAAGACCCCTGGGCGTGTCCCCCCACAGTGCCAGCACATCACGTGTCCTGGGTGGACATCCCCGGCACCGATCACTGGGGCTCCTGATCTCGTGAAGGAGCCAGTAATACCAATCGGAGTCGACAGTCATGTTCTGCAACAGTGTCGTCCACAGCCCCAGCTGAGCGAGCAAGCCCTGCATTCTCTGTAGCTCAGGGTGGGGTGTTAGTGATCCTTCACAGTCAGGGATCTCAGGTGCAGCCGGCCCTACTGTGCTGTTGCGGAGATGGACAGGGCTGCTCAGGACTGTCAGCTGGGTTCCAAACATGTGTGTGCACACGTAGTCACTCAGTTGTGCCAGACGCTTTGCGACCCCATGAACTGCAGTCCACCAGGCTCCTCTGTCCATGGGATTCTCCAGGCAAGAATACTGGAGTGGGTTGCCATTTCCTTCTCCATGGGATCTTCCCAACCCAGGGGTGGAACCCAGGTCTCCCATGTTTCAGGCGGATTTCTTTACCATCTGAACCACCAGGGAAGTGGTTTTACCTTCAAATGTATGTTTGAATAGTGACATCAGGAGATACTGATTTGGGTTTATTTCCTTAAAAACAGACTCTGAGGGTGTTTTCCATAGAGAGGTACCAGAACTCTCTGAAACCTTGGCGAGTTTGCTCACACTCAGAAGACAAGGACAAGGGAGGTTTTGGAAGTGGCTGGTCTGTATACTGCCCAGGAGGGTGGGCCAAGAGGACCTTGGGCACGTTACAAAGTTCACCCCCACTGGCTTCATCCCCTTCTCTGCTCACCAGTTTTCTCCTGCCTCTTCCCAGGGCTGGCAGACTCGACATCTCCAGTTGGCACAGCTGACCCATCTTCCTATCCCATCTATTCTGGTCCTGCAGTCCCCCCACCCCCCACCTCCTCTGATGCCTCTCACTCTCCCTATGCCGGGAGAAAACACATTTGTTCTGGAGCAATCAGGCCACCTCTGGTTACACAGCTGGGTGAAGAGTTACCTGCATCTCAGGGCAGAGCTAGAGTCTTCATGACACGGAAAGTAGTGCGCACAAAGGACTCGTCAATGGGCAGCAGCAGGGAGTCTGGGCAACAGGCTGATTACGGCCCTTCCCGTCTCATTTACTTTCTTTTAAAATACTTGTTTAATGTTTGGCTGCATTGGGTCTTCGTTGCGGCAGGCGGGATCGTTCCTTGTGGTGCATGGACTCTCTAGTTGTAGCATGTGGGCTCGGTTGCTCCCTGAGATGTGGGATCTTAGTTCCCAGACAAGGGATGGAACTCACGTCCCCTGCATCACAAGGTAGAGTGTTAACCACTGGACCACCAGGGACGTTCACCTCATTTACTTAGCTAATGAGGATCCCCTGGTGATTCTAGAACGAAGGCCAGTGCCCCTGGACTTCAAGGCACCACTCACGTGATCACAGCTCCGATTTTGCCCAGATGTCTGCTCATCTTCTTTTCCACTGGTCGGGGTCCCCTCCCTTTGTGCTGCATGTCTAACATTTTGAGGACATTTTTCTAAACTACGGTCAGATATTCCATGGTTAGAGGAAGAGTAGTATACTCTCCGCCAGGAGCTGCCAGACTCTGAGTGTAGACAGGCATCCTTGAGAAGGTGCCTCTGACTTTCAGACATGGCTTTTGAGCAGATGGAAAGTGAGGAACGAAAGTGGAACAATCTCTGCCATTCGACTTCAACTTTGGGGCCCTGGTGCCCGCCAGCCAGTCTCGCGGGACAGCTGTGCTTTATAACAAGCATGAAGTCATCTTTGTCTGTCGCTGGCCCTCCCATCACCCGCAGTGTTTCTCTGCAGGCCCCGGGACAGCACAGCAGTGGGTACTGGCTGTGCTTGGTCGTGAATGGGCCCATTGTTGGAGGTCCCGTCCCCACCACTGAGAGATTGTTTCAGAACTCTCTGGCTCGGTCGTCTCAGCCGGTGCACCATCGGGGTCAGTGGGGTCATGTTCAGGGGCCTGAGCCCTATGAGTGCAAACACCACGTCACCAAATGCCAGGCCGGGTCCCCCACCTGGAGCTCCCATCGCCCAGGTCCAGAGCAGGACGTGGGGCAGACAGTGACCAATGAGGTCACTGTGAATGCAGGGAGCTGGGGTGGGCCAGGCCCTGGGTTCGGGCACTGCCAGCCCACCTGCATCATCGTGTGACCACTGGACCCCGCTAGTGCCCCTGGGGGTCACCCAGTCTCCTTCAGTGTCTGTCTGCTTTCTTCTTTACCCAGAAACTTAGTTTCCCTAAGAGCACCTTCTCAGCAAGTCCCTGGGATAAGGCTTCCGTCCTGCAGACCCCGGCACCCCATCCCAGCCCTGGGTAACACATTGGTGAGTCTCGGGTGACTCTGTAACCCTCAGGAGCACCGTGACTAGGAGGGTGCTGGCCCCTCCACCCATGAAGTGACAGTGACGGGTCCCTGTCAGGTGGTGTTGAGACAGGCTTCCCAGGATGCTGCCCCGCGGATGTGGGACATAGCGTCTGGGGGGTGGGGCGGGGTGGGTGGGGTGGGCTCCCCTCCCTCTGCCACCCCAGCCCCGTGGAGCCTGGGTCCCCTGGGCACTGGCCACAGTTCGGTTGCCACCACTCACACCTGAGTGCTTGGGACACATCGTGGGTCTCCCTTCTGTCTATAAAACTGACCAAAGAGCTTCATCCAAATCGATGGTGAATGTAAGTGCTCTGGAAAGAAGGCTAATCTTGTTCTTAATGGGTCTTCCCCCGTGGCACAGTGGTAAAGGATTGGCCTGCCAATGCAGGAGACACAGGAGATGCTGGTTCAGTCCCTGGGGCGGGAAGATCCCCTGGAGGAGGAAATGGCGACCCACTCCAGTATTCTTGCCTGGAGAATCCCATGGTCAGAGGAGCCTGGGGGTCTACAGTCTACGTGGTCGCAAAGAGTCGGACTGACTGAGCATGCGCACACACACACTCGTTATCAACACAGTAAAAAGGGCAGAGAGCAGGGACCAGGGCAGAGACTAAACCCCGGGGCTCCCCAGAGACCGCAGCCTGTTGTGGGGGAGGAGTGAGCCTGGGACTCCCAGGGACGAGGGGTGATGTGGCCTTGCAAACCAGGCTCTCCCAGTAAAAGGGAAGCCAGTTTTCCCAACGCATTTGTGACTGTGTGTTGGACGTTTTCTGTTTATCCTTTGCTTAAGGAAACAGGCAAAATCCTCCTTACATCCAAATGAATCGCAATGCAAAATAAAAAAACATTTATGCCTCACACATGCAAATATCAGCTGTTCTGTTTGGCAAACTAGATATTGACCTCTGAAAGGAAGTGTTTCTGAAATAACACAGAGAAAACCTCAGTTGGTGCCTGTTCCGACCAGCACTGTTGGCAGTGGGTGGGAAAGCTGTTACTTTGATTATGCCTGTCCCTGGTTTGATTGATTGCCCTTTCAAGATCTGTAGGATTGCAGTTAAATTCCCCCTTATTCCTGATCTTGGCAGTTTGTGATTTTTTTCTTTCTTTCTTTTTTCATGATCAGTCACAAGAGGCACTGCTCATTTTAAGTAATCTTCATGTGCTAAGTTGCTCAGTCGTGTCCAGCTCTTTGCGACCCTGTGGACTTTAGCAAGTCAAGCTCCTCCGTCCATGGGCTTCTCCAGGCACGAATACTGAGTGGGTTGCCATTTCCTTCTTCAGGGGATCTTCCAGACCCAGGGACTGAACCAGCATCTCTTACGTCTCCTACATTGGTGGGCAGGGTCTTTTAGCTCTAGGGTCACCTGGGAGGCCCAACTAATCTTTAAAAAGAAGCAACTTAAGACACTGTGAGTTTTCTGTATTGTCAGTGTCCTATTTTGTTGATTTCTAGCATGGGGCTTCCCTGAAAGCTCAGTTGGTAAAGAATCTGCCTGCAATGCAGGAGTCCCCAGTTTGATTCTCTGGGTTGGGAAGATCCCCTGGAGAAGGGATAGGCTACCCTCTCCAGTATTCTAGCCTAGAGAATTCCATGGACTATACAGTCCATGGGGTCGCAAAGAGGCAGACATGACTGAGAGACTTTCACTCACTAGCTCAGTGTGATCTTTATCCATAAAAGGTTTTAAATGTATACTCCATGGAAAAGTCGGTTCTAAAACACACTGAGACACCTGGATGTGGCCCCTGGTGAGGGTCCTTCCCACGTGGTCACCCATGCACCCCTCCTTGCTCGCTAGATCCTTCATGTGAAGGTTAAGAACTTGAACCCAGGGGCCTGGCGATGAGGGGCTCTCCCCTTAGGACTCACTGTCTACACCTGCAAATAGAGGGAAGGTTGCTGTGCCCTTGCAGGCAGCACTGCATCCTGAGTGGGCCCCCTACATGCGGAGACACCCTGGGCCCCCCGCCCCCCACCGACTTCCGGAGATGCCCAGGCCCCGGCTCTGATACTCCTGCGGGCTTCCTCCAGGTAGGAACGACTGTGGGCACTTCAGGCAGAGGGAATCTTTCGCATGAGGTGGCCAAAGTATTGGAGATTCAGCTTCAGCATCAGTCCTTCCAGTGAACACCCAGGACTGATCTCCTTTAGGATGGACTGGTTGGATCTCCTTGCTGTCCAAGGGACTCTCAAGAGTCTTCTCCAACACCACAGTTCAAAAGCATCAATTCTTCAGTGCTCAGCTTTCTTTATAGTCCAACTCTCACATCCATACATGACTACTGGAAAACCATAGTTTCGACTAGATTGACATTTGTCGGCAAACTGATGTCTCTGCTTTTTAGTACGCTGTCTAGGTTTGACATAGCTTTCCTTCCAAGGAGAAGGGTCTTTTCATTTCATGGCTGCGATCACCATCCGTGGTGATTTTGGAGCCCAGGAAAGCAAAATCTGTCACTGTTTCCACTCTTTCCCCTTCTATTTGCCAGAAAATTATGGAACCAGATGCCATGATCTTTGTTTGCTTTTTTTTCTTAATGCTGAATTTAAAACCAGCTTTTTCATTCTCCTCTTTCACTTCATCAAGAGGCTCCCATTCCTCTTCACTTTCTACCACTAGAGTGGTATCATCTGCATATCTGAGGTTTCTGATATTTCTCCTAGCAATCTGGATTCTAGGGTACAAAATTATAGTTTCAGAGTCAGTTTAATCTGACCAGATCCCACAGATCGCCACCATCCCTGGAACTGTGCCATTTGTTGGGAAACCACAAAACTGAAGTTTCTGATTTCTGGCATCTGCTTTTTCTGGGAATAGAACAGATGGACAAAAAACCTCTCTTAAAGTGCCAGGGTGTCCCCTAGATATGTGGAATTAAGTCACACGTGCCCTGCCCTTCAATAGAGACCTTCCATGTTC